GAGAGAGAGAGAGAGAGAGAGAGAGAGAGAGAGAGAGAGATAAAGAGAGATTCCAAAATAGTAGCATTTAGCACTGCTGGTGGCCAGGCTGTTCTCTCTGAATCATCATTGAATGTCATTTCCTCCTGCTGGGACAATAGGACTTCAAAGAGTCAGGTTGATGACAAGAAGTCTATAAAAGTAAGCAAGACAGTTGAGCAAACTATTTGAATAAGATATGAAAGACGTCTTGAATAAATCAAAAATCCTAAATCCCTGAACTTATGACAGGTAAAAGCCTACCATTGCCATCATCCCCCACTGTCCACCTTGGGAAGATGATAAGTCAACAACTTGATGGAAAGAGACAAAAGGAAGAAAGGAGGGAAGGAAGAAAGAGAGGGAGGGAGGAAGGAAGGAAGGAAGGAAGTTGGGCTAAATAGTGTGTTTCAGGTTAGCCAGGGCAACACAGTGAGACCCTGTCTCAAAAAAACAACAACAAAAAAAAAACCCTAGTACCTGGGGTTTCAACTGAATGGTTGAGCACTTGTTCAGCATGTCCGAGGCCAGAGTTCAATCTCAGCACAGTGAAAAAAAAGGAGGGAAGGAAGAAAGAGAGGGAGGGAGGAAGGAAGGAAGGAAGGAAGGAAGGAAGGAAGGAAGGAAGGAAGGAAGGAAGGAAGGAAAGTACAACAGGCTCCATGCCTTTAATATAGGAACTGTATTTTATTATAACCAAATAGTCGATAAGCAATAGTTTTGATGGAGTACCAGTTAATAAACTCAAAAGGAGTGACAGAATTAGGAACTTCACCATTTGTAACTCCTTAAAAGGAATGAATCTAAGCCATAATCATCACCTCAACTAAAAACAATACGTGAAAGTCTAAAGAGTAGTATATCAGCCTAAGAGATTTCACTAATCCATTCTAATGTAGCTAAAAATCTACTATAAATTAAGAGTCTTGAGGCTGAAGAGATGGCTCAGTGGTTAAGAGCACCTGCTTCTCTTACAGAGGACCCAGGGTCTGTACATGGCATCTACACTGGGTGGCTCACAATCACCTGTAACTCCATCTCTAGGGGACCTGATGCCTTCTTGCCTTTCCAGGTACCTGCATGTATGTGATGCACATAGATATACTTAGACACATACACATACAAATAAAAATAAATACATATATTTTTAAATATTTTATTTATTATTTTTATGTGTATGTGTATTGCCTGCATGTAGGTAAGTGCACCCGAGTCGTGCATGCCCACAGAGGACAGAAGAGGCTGTTGAATCCCCTGGAACTGGAGTTACGGACAATACATATTTTTTAAAAGAGTCTTGGAGCTAGAGAGATAGTTCAACGGTTAAGAGCACTGGCTGTTCTTCCAGAGGACCCAAGTTTGATTCCCATCATCCACATGGCAGCTAACGATCATCCATAACTATAGTTCCATGGATCAGATGTCCTCCTCTGGCCTCTGGGGGCTTTGCACAACATGGGTGCATGTATATACACATAAGCAAAACACTCATACACTTAAAAATAAATAAATAAATAATTTTTAAGAGTCTTAAGAGACACATGAGCAAATGCAATAGATGACTCTTATTAGAAACTCACCTGAAACATACCAATTATATAAAGACTTTTTTTAGACTGACTAGGAAAAACTGATACTAAAGAATACTTACAATGGCTGCGGTGATAATTCAGTCGGTAAACTGCTTGCTTTGCAAGGAAGAGGGCCTGACATGGTGGCACTTATTTGTAATCCCAAGATCCCTGGAACTCATTGTCAGTCAACCTAGCCTTCTTGAAGTACTGGACCAATGAATGAGAAAACCTATCTCAAAAAATGTAAACAACATCTGAGGACTGACTTCAAAGTCTGCCCTCTAACCTCCACACTCATGCAGATGCAGGAGACACACATAAACATGAACACACACACACACACACACACACACACACACACACACACAGAGAACCCCTATCATTGTCCTAAGCTTAACAGAATTAAAGCATTCATTTAGAAAACTGCATTTAGTAGTGATACTAGCTGAGATATTTGCAGGTGAAATTATATGGCATTTGAAGATACTTTGAAGTAGAACAGAGTAAAATGAAGTAGAGATAGAGATGATTTTCATGTCTTATTCAAAAGTTCAGCAAAATATAAGTGGTGCAGTGCCCCCATAGGTGAATGTGTTTGAACACATGATCCCCAGTTGGTGGGGCTGATTGGAAAGGTTATAGAGCATTTAGGAGGTGACTTTTGTCTAGGGGAGATGGGTCACTTTTGAGTGTTATGGTCAGGCCCTGCTTCTGATCTGGTTCTCTGCTTCCTGGTCTGGCTGTCATGTGAGAAAGTCTACCACATAATCCTGCCACAGAGTCACTCTGCTGTGCCTTCTCCACCATGATGGACTGTACCCTACCCAGTACAGTAAGCCAAAATCAATCTTTCCTTCCTTACGTCTCTATCTGATATTTTGTCACAGCATGAGAAAATTAACCAATAAAAATAATCTCAATTAAATCTGTGTAGAGTAGGATTGTTTAAGCCATTTTACTGATTAAGAGGCCAAGATTTCTATCGTAATGCCAAGTTACTCAACTAAAACTAACAGAGTCAAAACTCAATTTTTTTTTTTTACTTTAAGTTCAAGTGTGTTTCCATCCCATTAAGACTGCTTTCCCTCTTTCCTAGAAGGAAATAAGAAAATGCTTAAATTCTAGAAATGACCCTATATTGCTAAAAAGCACAAAGAATTTTATATTGGCCAGCACCACTTTGAAATAAGATGGCCTCTGGGAATGCCACAAAGCCCTGCATTTATCCTTTAATCTTCAATGAAATTGACAGAGCATGCCAAGAATTTTCCATTTTATTGTAAACCCTCTCAGACAGAGCTAGGGCTTCTCTTTGTTTCAGGAGAGCTCAATTTGGCAGCAGCAACTCTGCAAATCTGCTGTGCGGAATGCAAGGGGAAATTCTCTCTCTTCCTCCTCTGAAGTCTCTTCCAAGATTAGGGACTTGGTCCACAACAACATTTAAATGCTCAAAGACAAAGAAAACCCATAGAGACAATAAGCTGTGTTCAGAAATTAGAGGGTGGTGGTCAGCAATCTACACCTGTGCCTTCTGTCTGTCTCCCACTTGCTTGCAAAGAGTATTCTTGTACTTTTTTAATATTTCAAAAGTGTATCATTTCATGAAACAGGAAAAGTAACAGCCATGGCTGTTTGCTGGCATATGGTCCCTGATGTGTTAGCCCTACAATAGCACAGATGAGCATTTGCCATAGCATATAGCAAGCAAAATCTGAAATAGTTACTATCTGATCCTTCCAGGAGACAGCGTCTAAGTCCTTCATTGTGGCACGGCAGGAAGAAGGGACGGGAGCCAATGAGAAACAAACGAAACAATCCCTCTGGCCTGGGTTGAGCTCTTTTCTCTACTTGAACGCTGCCTTTGAGTTCCTTTCATTTTCCTTTTCCCTGTTATACGTGCATACATGCATTGTATCATAAAATATGAATCCTTAGAAAAGATTCCCCACATTCTCATGGTCTTTCCTAATCTCACAATCACATTGGCCTTATGCCATTGATCCTAAAATATATTCTCTTCTCTGCCTTTTATTCTTAATAACAAAGATTCTTAATCCCTGCTAAGTGATTCCCAGTTACTTTTTCTCAAAAATGCCATCTTTTCTACTCATTGGTTAAAAAAGTTACCTAAGATCTTAGCCTGAACTTATAGATCTACAAAATAAAGGTGATAATCCCTAGAGTTGCAAAATGGTTTGTCTTTTAATACCTGGTTGCAGGAGGCAACCAGTGGACAGTGAACAGCGACCTTTACTGCCCCTCTTGTTTTATATCCCTAATAACTTCAGAAGATAAGCAATCCATAACAGGGGAAGCAGGCCAGGCCCCTGTGGTTTGAAAGCTTTACATCCAACAGTATCCTTGTGAAATTAAATTCCATTTCTCTTTCGGTTCAGAAAACTTTTGTGCCCATAGTCCCTGAGCTGAATAAAGAAAAACCCAAGAGGGACATAAGCCAGTAAAGTCCAAATAGCCATATGGCATTACCATCCCGGGGAAAATCCACGTTAGCATTTTATTGCAGCCAGAAGTAGATTAGGCAGATAAAATTTTCAAAATAAAACACAATCAGTTAATTAAAGTGAGGAAAGGCTTTATTTGTTTTACGCTAGGATGGATTGAAGAAAGCTTACAAGTGGCATCTTACCAAGAAGAGGTATTTCCTATATTAGAGCCTTGTAAACAGGGCTCCAAGGCAGCGGGGAGGTACTGAACAGACACGGCTCAGTCCCCTTACCTTGGCAGCACCACTTTGTTCACTCACACACCGAATCTTCCCCAGGGCCCTTTGTGAAGAAAGAAGGTTCTGAAACTAGGAGCTCACCTAGTTTCATGGCCTCCTGCCACCCAAAACTACATCATCATGGGCAAGTTCCCTAACCACTTTGTGTCATAGTTTATTTAATGGTAAAGTTCAGGTGATATGAATTATTAATAATAATAATCAACATGGGATAGTCTGTGAGTTAATATTTGTCCAGCACTTAGCACATATAATACATGATAAATGAT